AAAATATTAAGAGTTTTGAGAAATTGTGGCTGTTTTGAACCAAAGCTGATGATAAAAATACCGCATTGCAATATTAGTGTGAGACACTGAGACGACGGAAACAGAGGAGACTTTAAAATGTGAAATCATTTAATTCTCAGTCGGTCTGGCTAAATATCGTCTTCATAGCAGATGATGAAAACGGGACATTTTTTGCGTAAAGTGCGTCGTGAATGTGAAACATGTCCGCTGGGTGGATTCAACTTCCACACTAGTACACGGGCATCGTGAGCGAACAACCTACCGTGACTGCGAGGGAGACGAAAACTACATGAGTGACAGCGCGCTCCGCCAATCACACGGCGTCTGGCCGAAGGTCTTTTAAAGCTTCGACCAATCGCCTTAGTGAGGAGGCGGGGAGGGACCTGGCTCGGTTAGGCTGCGGATCAGCAACAAACAGAAGGTTACGAGTTTGAAAAATCCGACTGTTCGATTCCCGGACGGGCATTACGGCGGCGGGGAGGCTGCGAACTATGTCGGGCCTGTAACCGCAGCTCGTTGGGCCGCTTCTGAAGGCGCTCCGCCGGCGATTGGCAACATTTTTCGCGGAGGGGCTGCGCCGCGGGGACAAGCTCGCTTTTAGCTCGTTCGGAGCGGCGATGCTGAGCCGATAGCTGCGTCATCATGTTGCTTCCGACTCGAGTTGGCGAGAAGAGATCTCAAGTTAACGCCGGAGGTGAGGCTGCCCGCCGCCACCCAGCACCGGAGGCCACCCCCGGCCCCTGAAGAGGACGGCAGGCGGGCTGCGGGCGCGGGGTCGGCGGTGAGAGCCCCGTGAGAGTGCGCGGTGAAACCGGTGACTTTACATCACTTGGCGCGTTGCTCCGCTGCCTGAATTTCTCCTCCACACTTGGATGGACGGTGTGAAATGTCTCTTGACGGCGAGAAACATTTGAATTAGCGGATTTTTTTCAGGATTGAGACCAAACAGAAAGTTGTTCATGTTTGCATGGTGAGAAGTGATGATTGACAGCAGGACCCTCCAGCGGATGAGCACATCTGATGGTGATTTTCACCTGAAAGGAAATCCACTTTGTTCGGTCCATAATGAGACACGTTTGATTTAAGCTAACCACCGGAGACACACTGTTAGCCGGGTGTAGAGGAGGGTGTGTTGGGGCTCATTGTTCGGACCGGGCTCTGTTGTCTGCTGTCACCGCATCCACGTGGACTTTGTCTGGGCACGGTGGGTAAAGTTTGGACCCGGGCGGAAGCTTGTTTTTACAGAAGAAGAAGAGGGAGTGAGGTTTCATCACACCCTTTTGTAATATTATTTGTAAAAATGGCCGGCGATTGCGCCCACACCAACACCCACTACGCGAACTCTGAGGCGTTCGACCCGTCCAAACCGTGGGCGGATGGGGACTCGGTGCGCACCGGGGACGCGGAGTCAGTCGGGGTTTCTCCAGGACGCGGACTCCCCGCACGCCGGTCGCCCAACTTCGAGATGATAGACGGGCTGCTGTACCGCAAGAAGCTGGAGAAGGGCTTCATCAACTACCGGGAGGTTCTGGATGAGGACCGGAGACACGAGGCCGTCTCCACCTTTCACCGGCGGCGGCCTGGTCAGCGCCATTTCTCCCAGGAGGAGACCTACAAATGTGTGGCTGAGAACTACTGGTGGGAGGGTAAGAACATCTGACTTCTAATGACAGTGTGTGTTGGATCTGGGACTTTTTCTACATCAGGGGCCACAGTTTTTACACAGAGGGGCCAATTATATGTCTAGCATCCAGGCACAATCCTGATTTAGTAAGGTTTACATTTAAGTCATGTCATTGTTTACTCTGAGCTCTATAGCTTTGAGCAAGGCCACACATCATTGAATGTACTTATCGTTAGTAAATAAAACAAACCCACTGCCACAGGGCAATAATAGATTTCAGCTTTAGCCAGTGCCCCTGATCCGCCCCTGCTTATTGGTTATCTTATATCTAAATAGCTAAGTTTATTCATTTCTTTGTGTTGGGAAGTAGTGGCACATTAGAAACTGCTACACATCACTGATTGAATCAATCAGAGATCAATGAATGACAGACAAAGCCCTGCCTTTGATTATTTGTGAGACTTACATCCAGTGTCTTTCATCAGGATCAAAGCCAATTCTACAAGTAGAGCCTTAAAGAATATAAGAGTTGTTCACACGTCTTATTAACATACGACTGCAACCTCCCATCGCTTTTTGCTCCCATCTCTTTTTGCTATATTTTCTCATCTTGAAATAACTATTTTGCCTCACAGGGATGTACTTCCAGATCAGAGACTTTGTCCTGGGTTGTCCAGAGTGTCACCTCGTAAAGAAAACAGAGGTAAGAGTGGCAGGTCAGAGGAACAAAGGCTGTTCTGACAGGTTGCTGTACAAATTTGTAATCAGAGCTTAATTTTTCAGCATTTCACACATTTAAAATTCACACTTTCTCACCCTCGTTCTCACTTGATCTCTCTGTGTTTTGTTACTTATTATATAAAATGATGAAACTCTTTCTTTGTGCTCCTGTCAGGGGCTCGGTGGCAGGAGATGTGTCACAAAGACGATGGCGTCACACAGCGCCGACATGCTGAGCAAGTTGAGGAGTCAGCGGGAGGCGGGGCTGTTCTGTGACATCACCCTGCGGACCAACGGCCGATCCTTCTCGGCCCACAGAGCCGTTTTGGCGGCCGTCAGTGATCACTTCCAGGAAATCTTCACAGAGATGGACTCGAGCATGAAAGCAGACATAGATCTCACTGGTAAGAGCAAATACCTGGAGGCTAACACCGAGCTGTGTTCAGTTAGGTGGGCTTGGCCTCGATATTATGGTAAAACCGGAACTGTACCTAGGAGCAGTTTGTTTCTCCCTCACTGATTGCTCAGGGTTTAGTGTATCTTATTAAAGGCTTTTTTTCCCACCCCAGGTTTCAGTGAGGACAGCCTTCTATCGCTGCTGGATTTCTCCTACTCTTCCACTCTATGTGTTCGTCAGGAGGACCTGCCTGAAGTCATCGCCATGGCTCGCCACCTGGGCATGTGGCTTGCAGTGGAAGCCTGCTCCGCTCTCATGAAGGAGCAGGAACAGCAGCACCGTCCTGGTAAAGGCCTTAACTCGGCCTGTGCTGGTGCATGCCATGAGCGTCATCCCCAGCAGAGGGAAGGCAAGAGGAAAAGAGTGGAGGACAACATTAACAATGGTTTCAGTCTGATTCTGGATGTTTCAGACGAGTCTTTAGAAGAGAGTCCCAGGCGCAATTTGCGCAGAATGGCACGACCCCAAGGTTTTAACAGCCCCCCTCTGAGTCCCTCGCACAGGATGAAGCTCTTGGACTTTAAATCTCCCTCGTCAAAGAAAGCTACTATACCTCGACACACCATCAACAACCATCAGTCACAGAACTACTCACCTATACCACCACCAAATACCCGTCTTCTCCGCTCCTCTCCAGGGGCTGCCAAGGAGGTCCGGAGGTTGCTGCCCATGTCAGAGAGCCCGCAACGTAAACGAAAATGCCACTCCATCACTCGGCGCTCGTCCTCCAGATCAAGGCCCAGCACAGTATGCAGCCCTGTGAGAGTGAAGCAGGAAGTAGAGGAGGTAGGAGAGGATGAGATGGATTATGCAAGAGCACAAGAAAAGTACAAGTTGATGAATGTTCTGGGGCTACAGAGGACTGCGCTCCTTCCCAGACCAGAGGATCTCATTGGCTGGAGACAAAAGAAACGCCTGAGGAAACTGAAGGCCAACAACTATTCCCTTACTAAGCGGCGGAAGCCCCGCTTGGTCTCACCAGTGGTAACCTATGGGAATGTGACACTGTCACTTCCCCTCTGTAACCCTGTTAACACTCGCGTCCTCAACAAGACAGTGAAGGGAAAGCCTGTGGTCCCAGTCAGAGCAGAGCAGCTTACAGCAAAGAGGCCAAAGACCGCCCTGCAGCGCGTCCCTCCAAGTGACAGGAGTACAAGAAGTAAAGGTGTGTTACCAGACATGTTCCAGCCAGCATCCAGGCCTCCCTATGGGGGGAGAGAACTCAGACGGTCAGTAAGGGAGGGCAGCAGTGTCCACTTTGCTGCCCAGCAGCCTGTGCGATGTAACACCAACAAATCATTCTTGAAAAATGCAGTTAGGATCAAATCAGAACCGGCTGAATATTCTATCTCAGGTTTCTCCCTTCCATCAAACAGTCGTTGCAGCCTCACAACTCACACATCCGCACCTTCACAGAGGATGCAGTCCAGAAATAAGATCACTGTAGAGGCAGTCAAATCACTGCGTTACAACAGAAGCCGACCAGCAGCAAAGCTCAAGCGGGGCTCCACAACAGAGGTTGAGAAGTGTAAGCCCAGGGAGGAGGGGAGGAAAGCGGGGAGCCAGGGGCTGAGGGGGGTCATGGACACGAGACTGAGAGGGAAGAATGATGAACCTGATGGGCTCCAGTTATCAGAGCATGGACCCCCACCGTCCATTTACAGCCACCCTCTGTACAAAGTCATTAAAGAGGAGCCAGCAGACCCAGTGCCAGTTGTTGGACCTTTCCCCGATCCTCCCTCACCAGACCTGGGCAAACGCCAGAGCAAGCCCCCCATCAAATTACTGGATTCAGGCTTTCTGTTCAGCTTCTGTCGGTCAGCAGGGGGGCCCATGGCTGGACTGAAGAAAGAGGAGGAGAGTGTGGATATCTGTTTAACACGCTCCGTGTCACAAGTGGGGGATACATTTGTAGCCGAAGAGCCCCCCCATAGGACGCTGAGGGCCAGAGGGCCATCCAGCCTGCCTGTGGTGAAGAGGGAGAGGGAGGAGAGGAGAGTGAGCCAAAGCAGGGTTCAGAGACCCAGGAGAAACTCCCAGAACAACACTCTTCCTCTGGCCAAATCTGCCGGGTCCAAGGTGACGCGGTCCATGTCTAAGGTAGTTAATTGGGCGGGCAGTGATGCATGTAGATGACTGATTTTTTTTCTTTTTTGATATTAAGCTATCCAGGAATGGGCAATAGAAAAACAACACTGTAGAAAATGTCTAATATAATCTTTAATTTAAAACTGCACAGGTTTAATGACACGAGCAGTACCACCTGGTGTTTGTGTTAGGCACAGAATCTGTAAAGAATCATTTGAATAAAAAATTGATTCAACTCATACTTTATCTTCTTTTCCCTCCTTTGTCTTCTCTCCAGCAACAAAGTAAACAACTTGCTCTGAGCAGCAAGAACTGTGTTTTGCTGGATGCTGTACGACGGGCGCGGCTAAAACAGCTACGAGGGCCTCGTAGTCAAGCCCCTAAAGTCCCAAAGGCGGCCCACACCTGTCTGCAGTGCCCAACCTCCTACAGGGACTGCGATGCCCTGATCATGCATCGCCTCAGGCACATTGAGGGCAAGCACTGGCCCTGTCCGGTAAGCACTGGCTCCAAGACATGGAACACCAAAATGTGTTTATTTTCTATTCTCTTTTAGTTCTGGGCCAGTTTAAGTTTGTACAAACGAGCTGAACCCACAGAGATGGTTGCGTAGCTCACAGTCGCTAAAACTGTTCTGCTGCTTCATGCAACATGTGGGGAAATCAAATCCCTGTGGCTGATGACGGGTCTTGCTGCACGTTATTTATCTTCACTTGTGTTGCAAAGTGCTCACGAAGAATGTGAACAGTATTGGTCAAGACTAACTAGACCCTGAGTATTAGACTTGCACTGCAAAAATAAAGTATAATGTACAGGAAGTAAAGTCACTGTGTATCTCAAAACAATCGAAATCCACAGTAGGATATGAGCTCAAACACTCCAATTTTCTGCATTGTTAACCTGTAAGTTAGTAAAATAAGTTATAATTATCCAAAATAAATCATCAAGCGCTTGTATTAATTTTTGTTAAAGTGTCTATCTTGTTCTCTGGTCATTTCCATGATGTTAACTCTGTTTGGTTTGAACCCACTCTGCTCTGTAGCTCTGCAGTAAGACGTTCTTCCGACTAAGGAATGTACGGAACCACATACGCACCCATGACCCCAAGTTGTACAAATGCCGGAGCTGCATTATCGCTGGTTCCTGAGGCAGGTGGAGGAAACTGAGGTATGTGAAAGTCTGATGCCAAACCTGAGCAACACCTAACCTAAAAGAGAATCAGCTTAATGCTTAGGCCGCTTTGAGACATTCACTGAAGTCGGAATGTTTTCCTGAAATGTTCTAGAGAGGCTGTATGTGAGAACACAAGTGTCCATGTCAGTTGCCAAGTAAAATGTCTGGAGAATGAGTGAGCCCGTGTAAGACCGCAGGAAAATGTCCGGAAAATTCCCAGTGAGCAAGTGGACATGATGATGATGTGTCTAACATGTGATGGAAAAATTAAAAGACGCGTATCTCAAAAAAAAGGAGGAAGACGTAAACTTAGAAAGACAACGAGATTCAAGAGCTTTTGGTGATGAGGTTTGACTCCACTGTCAATGAGCTGTAAACAACAATCAGTGCTTTCTGCAGCAGAATTTATACGTCAACCTCCTTCATGCTCCACCCAGTCTCCTCCTCTCACGTGAATGTTCCAGACATTTTCCTGTTGTTGTGAACACGTCTGAAAATCCCCTGCATTCTTCACATGTGAAAGACAGAAGAGTCCTGGTCTTAAAACGGCTTTAGTTTGCACATCAGTCATCCCGAAGGTGTGAACCAAGGAGATGATTAGGTATTTGACTCTCACTCTATAAACGTCCTGCAGAAGGAGTTGTCGATACTCGACGGTACAATGTGATCACGTGCGCTCAATATCGGCATTGATTTTCTGTCTGTTTCCTAATGCTAATGTTTATTTTGCAGGATGAAGGCTGTCAGCGCCTGACACCAGTGAACCCGAGTGAAACCAGAGGCACATGATCGATCAGCGGCTTGTACATACTGCATCTGTCACACGCGAGCACAACTCCTCTGTGCGAAGGCGTGGTCATTGATTCTAATCATTGCCGTTGTCACGATTGCTAATATTATTTAAATAACCAAACCAAGGTTGCCGTTCCTGTTTTGCATTTCCATACAAGAGGTTAAACTTGAACATTACACTCAGGGGGGGCCGGGAATGCGATGCCACGGTATAAAGTAATTATAACATCACTGTTGTGTATAAAATAAAATGTAAAGTGATTGTTATAACTATTACTGCTACTCATTGTTATTATTTTTCTATGTATAGATGAATTTTGAGTGCACTTATATCATAGCTTATGTTGTAAACCTAAGAAGTGGTAAAACTGAAGGTTTGGCAGGAATACTTGAAGTGTGGCAAAACGTTGGAGTACTTGAAGTCGGAGGGGTGATAAGAGTGAGACGGTCCTGTGGGTGTTTTGGTGGGTCTCTGTCCGTGTGCTAACTTTGAAACGATACCACTTGTCTCTCCCTCCTTTCGTATCTGCTGGTCTCACACAAGTCCACGAGTCGCAGGATGCGGCCCGGGGGCCGGCGTGGTGACATCACTGCATGTGCATTTGTGGGTGGTTCTTCGTCCACTGTCTTTTCTAAGGCTGCCAATTTTCAAAAGGGAAACTGCGTCTTGTTTTTAATGTGAATCTCTGAATCGTAATCAACACAAACTGTCATTACTGGTTTTATTGATCTTTTCTTCCACTTCAATCCAAGACACCTGTTCTACTTCAAACCTCCACCTCCCCTTCTACTGAGTAAATGCAATGTGTGCACATAAAGATATGTTTCTTCAAAAATTGATTTTAGAAATAAATGAGCTGTCTCTCGCTATCTGCTAAAAGATTGAATAAATTTTTGCTTTTTATTTCCTGTTATTTGTGATTTAATTACACTTATTTGACTTGAGCTGTGAAACTGAATAACAAAGCATTGTGAAGCCTTTGAGTGCCTTTACTTGTTTTCATGAGTTAAACTACAGATGATACATTTTATAAAGTTGGGTAAAAAAGAAATGTGGCCCCATCAGAGGAAAATTCATCTAGAGAATCT